ACCTTGTGGCGGGTGGTGTAAAAAGTGAGGTAGGCCAATTAAGACCTGGACAAATACGATCAGAAAAGATTTTGGACAAATAGGTGGACCAGCAATATATGGACTTGGACGATAGAATAAGGAATGGCTTCTATTACTGTAGACGATGGCATCAGTTCACGCCGCTTGGAAGCGTCTCACCCTTGTAGACGTTGGAGCCAGCCTAACCAATAATGGTGAAAGTTGTTAGAAGAAGACTGTCTAATAAATAAGATATATATTTGCAATGCATGAATGTAGTCTTCTGTTGAATAGTTGTGACTGTGATGTCTTCACGTTTTTCGTGACTGTATTAATTTCAAATTTATCATAATATTTATTGGTAAATTATTATATTTTTTGCATTGATATAGTATTTTCCACCACAGTTTTTGAAGAATCCGGATTGTTCTGGCGACTTTCTTGCGATTCTATTATCAAGCCCTCTGGCTCAGCGAATTCAGTTGAAACGAACCGAAATTGGTGAATACTGTTAAAAGAATAAAAAATTTGTTGAGAAGCGACTTTATTTTTGTTTTGTAGATTTTGATACAATTTTTTGAAATGAACTCTATTACATTCAAGACATTTAATAATACTTAATTGTAAGAACAGTCTTCTTTTTCAGAAGATCCTTTATTCTTCATATGATTTATTATACTTTTATTTTGCTTACTTTTTTATTCATCATCGTTCGTGGCAGAGTCGAAGGCGGTGTGGGATTTTATTCATCATCAGGTGGTAAATATTTACGCTACAATGAATTTTCAGAACATATGAGCATTAGGTAATTAATGAAATTGGTGTCATTTCTCAAAAATCTGATAATCTCAAATTTCTCTGAAATCTATTTTTTAGTAAACCATTAAAAAATCCATATTTCTGTGAAAATTGGATTAATATAGATAATCAACCTTTTTTTTCACATTTTCAATCGATTCAAAAGTTTGGTAAACTATATTTACGAATTTATCAGTGATTTTATCAACATTCATTTTTTCAGCAAATTTCTGAACAACTTAAAGCCAAAATCCTTTGTCAGTAAAAATGCATCAGTGATTACTATTGGAAATCGGCATGGAAAAATCATATATGGAAATAATGAATATTGTTTTGAGCCGTCAACTTGTTCAATTGATGCTGACTTGGGTAAGAGAAGAACTTGTGTGATCCATATGAATGAAATTGCTGTACGTCCTTTCATGATCATTTAAAATATGCAAAATTATAAATTATAAATTTATTATAACTAATTATAAATTTAAAAATTTTATAATTAGTTATTTCAAGGAATTTCAAACCTTGAAATCTTCAGAAATTTCTCAGGAATTTGTTGATTTAAAATTTGGTGATGAATTATCACGTCCGACCGCTCTAATATGGTCATGCCGTATACCGAATTGGTGTTGTGGTGCTGAATGTTGCTCACAATTTTTCAAGTTCAGTATTTAAAATGTCTTTCATTAATCATATTTAAGGGGTTATATTTAAGAGGTCAATTGCAAATAATTATATTTGGGGCAAAAATTTCTATGCAATTGCAAGAATTTGTTAAGTATTTTAAAAATGAAGGCTTAATATGATTCATTTAAGCAGGCTCGGGGCATCCAGAAAACAGCCCTAGTTTCGTAGCTTGTTTCAATTATCGAATCTTGTTGGAGAAATTAGCTTGTAAAATAATATATATCAAATGTATGAAATAATTATTTTTTTACAACATCCATTTCTAATTAAGCTGATTGCACTGACATGAGAGTTAGCATGAGATGGAAGGTGGAAATTCAGCTAAGTCTTCAGCATTATGCTGACTTGATTTGTAGTGAAATTTTTAATCTTGCCAAGAAGCAGTAACCGAAATAATGATTAAAATAATAGTCCAAGCGATACGCTGCCACATTGCTACTATAGCATAACTATTAAGAAATTGCAAAGGAGTATGAATGAATATTATGTGATTAAATAAGCACCTAAATAAATAGCAGATACCAGTTTGCATTAATGGAATACAATTTTCGAATGTATTAATGTCCATTTTGATTTTAGTGATCTGAGGAATATTTAACATTTTCTTTCTCACCATATCTTTTACATACAGTAAAATGAAACATTTCTTCATAGTGAGTTATCAGATTTTTCCGCAATTTCAGAAATCCGCTGTTATCGATAGCACCTGATATCATTTCTTTAGTAATAGCCACTACTTTATTTATTGTTGCATTCGTTTTACTCAAATTTTATGTTTATGCTGAAAATATCTTTAAACGTTGGAAATTCATCACTTCCACCAATGAAAAAAAGGTTCGATTATATAATTCAATAAAAACGGTTTATTGAGTTAGCAATGGAAATTCAGATCAATTCGGAGGCTATACTCTGTTATTTTTTAGTAAGGAAAATTATGATTTAATAAATTTTTTTACCATAAAAGAAGCACCTGTGGACACTGTAGATTAAGATATTTTTTTAAAGATTTGAACTCTTTACATTATTTGTAGAATTTGGAACCATCAAACGATTGTGCTACATTGTAAAGATGCACCATCTTATTATATACAGTCAGTTTTGCAGAATATTTTTAAAAATTTTGGATTCTTAAAAAATGTTAATGTATAAATGACTCTTTTTGTTCTCACATATTAAACTCATTTCTCTGAATGAAGAGAAAATGTATACTGGGAAGAGCACTTCAAAAAACTAACTTTTCCTTACTTGTAAAATTTCCTAATAATATTTCCCACAACTACTGAAGAGTTTTAATGGATATGTTATGCTATATTCAAGCAAACTGTGGATCATTAGACATATTTCAAATTTGTGAATTCTTTAGAGAATTGTTGCTGGTTGTAATAAAACTTCAACCTTCCACTGTATATTGGCAATACAAATTAAATCTTGATGATCGATCACTATCAAAATTATATTTTAAAATTTGCCATCATTCTGACTTAACAATGAAGAGACGCCAAATACAAAACTTGTTTGCATAATATCGCGCTAATCTATAACCTTTGAGTTTTTCTCGTGCAGTTTTTGATGACGAGTGAGATTCGCAAATAAAATTTAAAAAATTGTGGAAGAATAATGTTTGCGCCAAAATATTACCTGTTTCAGGACTCCTATTGTTGAGGCTAATGCACTGCACCAAAAATTTCCAGATGTTCTCAGACACTATGGATTTGAATCCCACATTTTCTGCAGAAGAAAATGTACTCGAATAGATCAAATTATTTTGGTCAATAGAAAAAACTAAAAAATTTGGGACCAATTTTGGGAGCGATCGATAAGAAATAATCTACCGTAAAGAAAGAAGAGATATAGGCTATCGCTTGTGATTTTATGATTGTCATTCTCGTTGAAAAAGTATCCTTATCGTATCTTATCGTTCATCGTCGGACTTAATCTTGCGTAAATAAATCTTATTTATTCAAATATGTGAATCTTGTGAAAAGATCATGCAATATGTATCAATTATCACTCGCGTAATCAACACAAATTAATAGATATGCGCAACAATAAAAATATTCGCCCAAATACTGTATGTAATCATAACTATAAGTAATAAAAAATTGGTTTTGAAGAAATCTCTGCTGCTGTCAGTTTTTTAATATTATCGTATTGTCGTTATTCATAGTCAATCCATCTGACTTGTATTGCCTTATCTTTCAATTAATCTTAACCTTTTTGCTTGATTTTTTGCTTATATATTTTTATATTTATTTTTTATATTTGAGCACAATGCCTTTTTTTAAGAATTGAAAAATTTTTATTTTGGGGTATTAATAAATAAGCCGTATTGAATCATAGCTCGATGACAGATTTAAGTGCTTGCAGCTTGAAACTGCTTCCGTTTCTTTCTCCTCTGGTTTCCTCCTGTTTTTGTACTCAAACTTTCTCTTTTTGCTTAATTTTTTGACTGGACATCTTAAGAGTAGTATTAAAGAGTAGCCTTTTGATTTTGGACCTTTAATCTTCCAAAAGAATTTTACAACAATTTTCGCCAAAATTAATCTTTTATAATCTCTTCTAAAATTTAAAACGTTCAGATGGATAACAATAACTCATAAACAGATTTTCACAAAAATACGATCGAAAATTTGGGTCAGTAGTAATCCAACATCCAGATGGATTATGTTCGAATAACCGGGATTAAAACCGAGATTTAATTTAAAAATTGATCAAAAAAGAACACCAAACAAAACGAAAATTGCTTTTTCAAAACTGATACGCAATGGAAAAAAATTCTCTTTTGCTAAGCCAAAACGCTTATGGACGTTGCAAATCAAGCAATCACTGTCCACACCCTTTCTAAATATCGTGTGGATATCGCTTGTCGGATGTCCGTCTTCTTCACTTCGGGTCTCGAGTAATTACTAATCCTGGTTCGGAGCAGAGATACTGGCTAAATCACTGTGATGCTTACTCGGGAGGAAATGGCGTAGCGAATGTGATGTCTGACAAGGCTCATTCCGCTTTGATAGAGTGGAAACCGGTAAGCGACTGTATGGCTTATGGCTTTAAAGGTAACTTCTCAAATATTCTCTGTTATAAGTGTTTATGTTCTAATTTTCTCGGCACCGTGTTAAAGATAAATTCTGTGCGGGACCTTCAATTGGTAACAAAATCTCTACAGAAACATGGCATGGCCATAATCGCAGGAGACTGGGATGTGCGCGGAGGTTAAGATGTCGCTGCGATAACCTCGACAATTCGCAAATATGACATCGCAGTCCGATATGCCTATGGAGAACGCCTTCTTTGCCTTGCCTGAAGAACATGAAATTTTTGTTACTAAGCTTGATTCCAGCATTGCATAAAACATCTAAGAATTCTCCCGAAGAATTCACATAGAACTTCCCAGACAACCAACATTTTAACCAGATTGATTACATCTTAGTCAGCCGCCACTGGAAAAGTTTTGTGCTAGTCGTTCCTATCGTGACGCTGAAATGGGCAATCTTCATGGACCTGACAATGCTATGGTTCGAGCCAAGATTAGCATAAAACTGACAACTCACAAGAAATAGCATCTTCCAGGGAGGCAGTAAGCGCATTTCAAACCGAATTGTTGAAGCATTTCATGTTTTAAATATTAACGACTTTTCTGAAACGGCAAACGAATATTGGTCCAAACTAAAGGAATGCCTCCAAAAGTCAACCACTTCCACGCTACAGCATAGTAGGAAGTGCGCTATTTGGGTAGAAGCAACTGTCCAACTGTCAGAAAATGCTGCCAAAACACAAATGTCAGGAAATCCTGACTACTGGATGCTTCAAAGAATTGTAACGACAACAGCTCGTCAAGACAGAAATCGCTATTGGAGCAAGATGGCCTACAGAATGGAGACTGCGACAATAGGAAACTATTTCGTCTTTTTTATAAAGTAACTATAACTCGGGGAAATATAGCAGTGCTGTGCCTGTTAAGAGCATTAAGGATCGCCTCATAAGATGGAATGAATTTCTTGAAGTTAAACTTAACTACGACGTCATCTGTTGTCGCGGACGTCGCTTGTTGAGCCATATATTTGTAATTGTAAGCCGCCATAAGAATAGGAAATAATCCAGAAGCTTAAGACTAGTAAAATGGTCTTCGGAGTGGAATCTTCAAGTATTGTCCATCTTCCCTCATAATGCACCTTCAATAATTGTAGTCTTTGGTATAGCAAAAAGAAATAATACCAGAAGACTGGAGCAAAGCAATTCTTCCAATTCCTAAGAAAGGTGATAGGACATATTGAGATACAAAAGGTTAGTCTACTAGACGTCTCAGCGAAAATTTATGCTTCCTTTTTAGCCAGTAAGCTTAAATTACTACGGAACAGGAGGATGCGTTCTAACTAAGCTGGTATTTGACCAGGACGCGGTTGTGCTGACCAGATATTCACGTTAAAAAGGATGTTGGAACACCGCTTCCGATATTTGCAACCCATTGTCACGTGTTTTATCAATTTTGCGGCTGCCTTTGATTCAATTGATAGAACGGCACTTTGGAGGGTGACGATGTTTTTGCAAAGAAGATCATTTGACCCATAGAGACATTTTATCAATGTACGTCGGCGTAAATCTAAGTATATGGGAACTTATGGATTCCTTCGAATTAAAAACTGGTGTTCATCAAGGCCCCGTCCTTTCCCCTACAATATTCAATTAAGCGATAGACTGGATAATGGTCACCGTTTTTCGTACACAAGAGAGATATACAAATCAGTCCAGAGCACCGTATCACAGATCTGGAATACGCTGATGATGTAGTCCTTTTTGCTAATAGTTATGACGTAATGTAAAAAATGCTAAATATTTGTTCAGCAACTGCAGCGAGGAGTCAATATAAACAAAAGCGAGGTCTTATCGTCTTACATCTTATATATAAGAAGCTGATAAGCTGGTATATCTCTTTTTATAAACTCATTGCCGGTTGAAGAAGTGCCCGATTTTAAATACCTTGGATATAAAACACTCAAATATCGAATAGCCAGGCAAAAGACGAAATTATAACCCAGACAACGACAGCTAGAAATGCGTTCATCCGCTTGACGAAATGTTTGTGGGACCGTCGAGAGATCACCATAAAAACTAAACTCCGTGTCTATCTAGTCGCGATTCGTTCGATTCTGCTATATATATGACCAATGAGCGGATTAAGAAGTTATTCTTGCCTAAGGTTCGTTTTATGGATTCGCCGAATAGATAAAATTTCATATGATCGCATCCATCTCCATTGAAATACCACTTGCATTAACAGTACCATCACGTAGCGTCGCTTTCGCTAGATAAGGCATGTTCTTCATCTCCCGCCACAAGAGTTGACACATATTTCTTTATTTGCTAAACCCTGTGATAGGTGGCGTCAAAAACTAGGTGGGCCAATCAAGAGCTGGGCTGAGGAGGTCAGGAAAGATTTTGAACGCATAGGTGGACCAGCAATATAGGGACTTAGGTGAAGGAAAAAGAAATGGCTTCTATTATTACAAGCGATAACGCCGAACCGAACAACCTAGAGATGACCCTTGTAGCGATCGGTCAATAACCCAATCTGTAATAGCGAGAGCTGTTAGAAAAAGAAGAAAAGGTAAAGATTGTATTATAAAGTCAAGGAGACAGCCCGAATAGTGTATATTGCTCAGATTATCGTCTTAGGAGTCAAGAGTTCGGGTGCTACCTTCAATGAATGCAAAGCTGCCATTAAAATCATTGCTTGTGGTCTTAAAATTTCTAATAGGCAGTGTGGGGAAGAAATGCCTAGAAATGATCAACGCCACCCAGTTACTGTAACATTACTATTGCAACACTTTCCTTAATGTATGAACGAACTATGCCAATATATCCATCCATTTTTGAACACTTCATTGCATTGTCGTCGATCTATAATATTTATTGAGTGCTTCTTTGAATTTTGCAAAAATTTTTTAGTTAAGTAGAATTCGATATAAAAATAGCGAATTGCTGCGGAAAAGTTTTGCCATATTTTCGTTTAGTTGTTTAGTTGTTAAAATTAGATCTTTTATTATTTTTTGATTTTTCAGGGAATATAAAATTGATAAGTTGGCAATTACAAACCAATACTGCTTGTCAATCTCCATCATATAATCCACACAATGAATTATCATCATTTATTATGGCTGTTTTCATTATGTATCGTATGTGCATTTTCTATCATCAACGTTAAGACGACTGCTAGGTGCTCAAACTATTCCACTGACCAATCGACGCATCTTCGTCAAATTGCACATCACCATCAATTGCGAATCATCAAGTCCATGCTCAACTACGTACTAAGTATGAACTTTATGTCACGCTGCAACCCAATATAGCTAGTAAGACTGTGTTTTTTAGTGGGATCATTAAACGCCACTACATAGACTGCTTCTAATATAAGTATCATTCTGGAATAGTGAGAAATCTATCTTTGTCAGCAAATTTATTTTTAGATTATTTTAACTTCTAAAGATGCTTATTACTTTAAATCCTAACTTCTCATATGGAAAAGTGAGATCATTTAAAATTCTAATCTAATTCTGACATTAATTTTCGTATTTTTTTTACTGATTTGTTTAACCAAAATGAATTTGGAATAATTTTTCAATTTTTTTGACAATTTTTCAATTTTCATGACAATTTTTTTCATTACTTTTAATTTTTTCTTGAATTTGGAGCTTATATCTTGATAATATTTGTACTAATTTAATTTGGATGTAAGTTAGAGGTTGTTTGAGCAAAATTTCTTTATCGAAATTGAAGATCGATGAATGCGAAAAGAGAGGTACTATTTTTATAATTTTATTAAAATTCTGCAATCTTCTGCGAATTACTTTTCATGGTCAGTGGAAGTATTTATTAGATAGAAAACATTGTAATATTTTATGGCCCTTTTCTCTCTTTGATCGTTTATTGATTTCATAGTGCCTACACAGATTAATTTGGATTCCAAAATTTTTTTCAGTTTATTATTTATCAAAGATTCAATGATATTTGGTTTATAAAATAAAAGATAAAAGCAATGATCTTCCAATGCGCCATTGTTATCAGTTATTCTTTAGACATATCTTGGATAAATTTTTCTTTTCTTTAAAAGTGAGATCCATCTTCATACCTTTATTAAGAAATGAGACTCTGGCAAAACTCCCGCATTCTATTAACCAAAGAAGCTTGCTGAAAAATTTTCTCTTTATCTTAAATTTCAATTAAATGTAGATTCATGGTTCATTTGTTCATACAAGTGTCAGCGTACAACAGGGTTAAAACTATATTTTAGATTTAAATTTTAAGCATGTTTTAATTTTTCTTCCTTTTCTTCTTCTCTTGCCTGATGTCATCACCAAACTTTATTAATTGAAAAAACATGTTTTCAGATGTTATTTAGTAAATTCAAAACCATTTTATGCACGTGAACCCATCCTGGACTATGTACGCTACATGTATGCGTTTGCTCAACAGAATATTGCAATTTCAGCGAACATTCGTTTGTTGCCAAATTAAATGAATCGCTAAAAGAAATAATATTCTTAAACTTGTAACAAATGATAGCTCTAATGCTCAAATACAGAATCTATCGATTTGTTAACTGCTCCAATTCGTTCAATTCCATGCAATTCTTTTTATTATATTATATTTATTATATTTCTCTCTCTTTTTATTTTTTATTTCATTCACTATTTCACTTAAATCCAGTATTCGTTCATTCGTTCATTTTCGTTCATTTGTGACGCAATCATTTTCAACTTTCCACCTTATGTTAAATTGCTATCTCATGATTTTCTACACTGCTTCATTTAATGGACCTTTTTTTCCATTTTAAAATATAAGTTTCTGAAGACTATGTCCTAAGAACTTGAAATCCATATACTTAAGCAATTTTTGAGCCGCACTTCATTTCGCTCCATTATTAATACGACTGGCCTGCCTGGCACCTTGATTTTAAAGTCGTTAAAATCGCAAATTCTTCGCTTGTTATCAACCAGAAGATTAATTGATTATTCATATATTGTGAACGATAAGAGCAGACGATTAATTGTTACTCAGATCATCATTTCGACAGAAATGGTCAGCATATCATCAAGGAACCAAGGTTCCAGGCCTTAAATGAATCGCGAACAACATTGCATCGTCCTAACAATGGAGCAAGCCTAACTAATAACCTTTTAAGCGATCCAAAAATCAGTTTATTATAAAAGTGGTATAATTCTTTGAAATTTTTGGTTAATTATACAGGTTCTTTTTCCGACAGACTAAATTTTTGATATACATGAGTTTACACGGTTTCATGGTTAATACAACAGGCGATAATTATTTTATGATTAATGAAATTCATATTAGCGTTTATTTACTCAAATTTTTTCCAATTTTTATAAGGCTATGGTTGCAAGATAAATCATTTGCACTAATGCAAAATAAATAAGCTGATTGTCACATCATTCAGTTCCGAGTGGCACTGCAGCAATTTTCCAAAAAACCTCAGATTTATGATTTAACTGTGCGCGATATGAAATTTTAACAAGTTTTATCAAACAAGATAGCGCCAATCAAAAAACCTAAGTGAACAGTAGAATGTGCATTGATTTATAGCGGTCATAAATTGTGGCAAATTTATTTTCATAGGAAAATTTAAAGTCAATTTAATTAACATCCTCCAAGGTCTTCAATAGCGGTTCAAGTTCTAACCTGAAAAAAGATTTAAATTGAGAATTTAAATTACAAATGAATAAAGAACTAGTTTACACAATTCTTTTATGCTTAAAAAGAGTTTTTTTTTCAATTCCTAGTGGACCATTTGTTCCTAAACCAAAATTTATCATCCATCCTTCTTTTATGTATTAAATATCAACCAAGCGATCTTGATTCCCTTAATTTTTTTTTGCGAAGCAGTTCTATGAGTTATATGTGTTCAAGGCGAGAAAACAGTTTCAATTCGAGGATTAGACATAAAATAAAACTTCTTTACCAATCATCTTCACTGATGAAATAGTAGCGATCCGGTTTCTGGAAACCATTAAAGTTTGATGCTGCTGAACATGTATACGCTCCCATATCTTTGTAGAAAATCCACTCGCCAACATTGAGTTTCCGAAATATAGCATATTTCTGCAGTGAAAATGAAAGTAATATTCGAGATCAGCTCGCATGATTTGCAAGCTTTATTTAGATCATTTACTATAACATCAATAAGAAAATTAACAAATTTGAATGTCCAATAATAAGATTTGCTACTGAAAACCTTAGTTTACTGAAAATATTATATTTTTATAAATATTTAATATAAATAACCTCTACAATATCTAAGCTGTCGCATGTAGGTCCCCACACTGTGCATGGAAATATCGGTTCATTCAACTTATCCTACAAGAAAAGCAATTGAATCTCACAAATAATTAAATTATTTGCTTGTAATTATCTTTGTAGAAAATCCACTCGCCAGCATTAAAATATCCGAAATATAGCATATTTCTGCAGTGAAAATGAAAGTAATATTCGAGATCAGCTCGCATGATAATTATCTTCGGAAAATATAAAAATAATTTTTTAGTAATATTTTTTTCATTGTCAACATTCCCCAGAAAAATATATAGAGAACGAGGATTGATCAACTTGTATGCTTATGGGCAATAAAATAGATCGGAGATTAAGATTCATATTTAACCAACAGATTTCGCAAATTCGCGAACAATCAGCATCAAATAGTTCATGAAACATATAGCGCAAGAGAACGAGAAAAAATCCCGTCGTAAAAATTATAAAAAAATTTTGTTTACTTTAAATTTTTTTTTTATTTTTAAACATCACGTATAATTCACTAAACAATATAGCTATTTCATATAGCATCCCTATGTTTCATAAATTTTTGCTAATCACCACTCAGCTTTTTCCTTTTTCTTAGGGAAGATTTTAAGACTGTGATTTTTTCGAGAAATTCAAGAGAAAAAAATGCCAACTAATTTTAGTTTATTGATATAGATTATTGATGAATTCGCCAAAACATGAAAATTTATCAGTTAAATTTTAAATTCTTTCAAAAATGCGGACCACTGAAAAATGGACAGATAGACAAATCATTGTGCAAAATTTTTCTTTTTCCTTCATTATTAATTTTAGCACAGCCAAGCCATTTTCTCACTTTTACATTAAGCCAGAACGGCTAAGCGGATCACCAACATATCTTAAGGATTTATCTAGTATTTTCCAACTCCTAAAATTGTTTATAAATAATTTCTCATTAATGCTATTACCGAATGATGCTGGCAAATCATTTGTATTCCTGTCGCCAAGAGACTTTCTGGCAAGATTTTCTATTCGACCAGAGGAGACAACGGTGAATACTATTAGAAAAAAAATATTGAAGTAGTTTACATTATTTTCTTTCTTAGATGCGAAATAGATTACAGTAGATTAATAAATCGACAATCATCCTGCACATATTCTATTGCATTTGTTTAATTCACACTTGCGGAATCAAAATTTATCAAAATTTCATCCCTTTCGGAAGTATCACTCGAACCTTGGATAAATGCGAAATATTATATAGCAGATGTGGTAAATCCTTCAAATGAAACTAGGAAGTTCGATCCTCTTTATTTATTTTTTAAAGAGTCCTCACTATTATTGGTTAAACTGGCTCCACTGGCTTGTTACACTGAGCAATATGCCGCTTGGCGATAGAGATACAGGTGAATCGCCAGCATCATCTGGATTTTTGTACAGGTTTACTCCTCCGAGGAATCAAAGCTCAGCATCGGCACTCCCAATTGAGCAACAACCCACTGAGCCATTCTATCTTTATTTGTTTAATATTTAATATTTATTCAATATTTTTTGATATCTCTTTAATTAAATACGTATATGACTTACTTCAAGAGGAAACCCTCGCGGGGTGCAGTGATCGAAGAAAATGCAATTGAACGATCCATAAACTCCATCGTTTATATAATACATATAGGCTAAATTAAATAAATATTAAATATGACTAAAGATATAAATATCACTAAAGATCACATGGGAAATATTATTAACAAGATAGTATTTCCATAAAAAGAATTCAAATTTAAACCCACCTTCTTCATCCTTCTCAACCGATAAACGATTCGTTGTAACCTTGGTCGAAGCAATAACATTGGCAGCGAGCGAAAATGGCTTACAAGCAAAGAATCTAAAAAACAAAGTTTTAAATCTCAGAAGAATTGTCGCATAAACCTGGATCTTTTTTCTTTTTCAAATCGCAAATTTTTAGTAATACGAAGCAACAACGATCATACTTTGTAGAGGCACTATTAGCCCGAATAAGATTTCATCACTTATATCTTCTTTGCAGTCTCTGGTTTGGTTGGCTCTATTGAATACTATTATAGAATAGATCCGTTCCCCAGAGAGTCACTTGATAGACATACTTAGATCCTCAACATCATCCGGAGATCATTTAATGCAGGTTTCTTTCCATCAAGGAGCCCTCAGTGGAAACAATATAACTCTTGACCAATCTATGATCAAAATGTTTATATGACTACATAATGCATTCCACAAGGTGTATGATGCCACTAAGGAAAGATTTATTAAAATTTGACCATATTAACAAAATTAAATGCAAGACTTAAATAAATCACCTATTTATTGATCGACCTATATGCTACGTGAAAATTTCATTTTATATTAGCACTTTTAGAATAGTTAATTTGTAGTTAATTTTTCTCACCTCCCTGGTTCAGCGATTATGTTCACCCCGCTAGATAACGGGAAATATTCATCAATTAGTGGATTTATCACATTAACTATCTGAAAATATAATAACATGATTAGTGATAAGTTCATTCAGTGATAGTGGAATGCGGAAAGAAATAACTAGTCTGAGCTAGAGATTTTTCAAATTAGAAATTGCTGCTTTTTAAAATTTTCACTTTCATGCCGAAAAAATTCATTTACTTTACTTATTTACTCATTTACTCATTTACTTTTTCAAATGAGACTCGAAGATTGTCATTTCCAGGATAACCTCCACCAATGTCCAAGATGTTCATTTGCAAACCAAATTCTGCACCAAAATCAAACAATAATCTAGCGTGGTGAATACCATGGCAATAGGCTTCCGGATTATTGCATCCACTTCCCACATGGAAACTAAATAATCGCCAAATATACTCTTTTCCAGAAAAGTTGTCTGATAATGCCTTATCATCATATATTATTAAACGCAACTCAACAAATGTGTTGCTATAAAATTTCTAAAAATACAAGAATTAGAATTCTTACGAAATATTCAAAGATTATTTCTTTCTATTAAATCATTTCAATGATCAGCTTATAAACCAGATTAAAAAGGAGAGTAAGAGCTAATGGAAACAATTCAGAGCTTTGAGATATTAACATACGATATTCCAACTACAGAAATGTCTCGAAAGGCCGCAGCAACAAGTAATTCTCTAGCTTCTTTTTCTGGATGACAACCAAATTTCGAATTCAATTGACACAATGCTGTTGGATCGCTTATGGCCAAACGAAGAAGTAATCTGAAGCGAAAGCGACAATATATTTTGTATTGAAACAGAACAATAAAAACCTCATCGAATAATGATTGATCGTAAACTCACATAGAATATAATCTGTTACTGGGTAAAAAAGACATACCTGGCGTTTGGATGATAAATTGCAATTTTATCGAGCTCCTCCATGTTATCAAATGTCATGAGGACAACATTTTGACGGTGTGCATAAGTAATAAATGACTGCGGTTTACACGGATTCGCATATATGAGTAAGTCAGGTGTTGTTAACTTTAATGCCTATCAAGTTTTAAATAATTTAAATAATTCGATATCGATAGCTACATTTAATTCATATTACCGTAAAATATGTTTTAAACTGGAGAAAAAGGCTAAAGAAGAATGATTTCTCTTTAATACTGAAAATAATATACAAGCAATAATTTTTACTAGCCTGCAGCAATAAAAAATAAAAAAATAAAAAGTAAAAAAAGGAACATCGTTAGATAATAATTGTTGTAAAAATAAAAATTAATACCTTAAACTTAAGTTTATTTAACGACAGCCATCGAAGAAAAACAAATGAGGCTAACACAATATGATCTATCAATTTACGGAGTAACAGATAATTTAATGGATTTCCGCCAGTGTTGAAGAAAAAAAGAAATTTGAAGGAGATTTAGAAAAAATATAACGCAATTTCAGATTGTTTAGGTTTGAAAAAAGTGCTATGGAGGCATGAAAATGCACAATGGTGTAGGAAGGTTGGCAAGGAAATATAAAGACGTTTGAAATTACTTTAAATGGAGTTTTATGGAATATGAGAGCTTTTTCGAGATAATGGAACGAAAGCTGCGATTTTATGACTATCTGTGAACAAATTAGCTGTAAGAAATGAATTTCAAGCAAAGAATGAAAATAATTAAACAAGAAGAATTAAAATTGTTAAAAAATATTGTTAAAATTGGATTAGTCAGCACTAAATTTCACTGAACTAATTTTAAACAAATTTTGACATTTGTGTTAATTTGTTGTCATTTTCAGTTATTGAACATAAAATCATAGGTTAGATATCCTGTCATCAAAAAATTGATACTTTAATTTTTAAACCTATAATTTAAAGAATCATAAAGAATATTTGAGTTATTAATTCTTGTTGGTTGGTTACCAGATTAACAGTAATATGAGGCTGGGTAAAATGATAATGGGAAAATTTTCTGGTCATATGCAACTGGTCAACTTATAATACAGTAATTTTGTTTTAAATTTCCAACTCTATTTTTCTATAATTCATCTTTTTTGTGAATTAATATTAGTGATAAATCGCTTTAAATTTATATTTTTCCTACGAAATAAATTCAGCTTTTTCGTAAATAAATTTTTTTCGACATTAGAAATAAGAAATCCAGTCGTAATGAGAGGAAAAAAAAGATAAGAAAAGGAAGAAAAGCAATTACGAACAAGCAAATTGTTAGATGGAAATCTAACTTCAAATTTAATTCATAGTTTAAAGTCATTTTAGGGAAATAAAAGTGAAACAGCGACACAATAAAGATCCCATTCTTGAATTTCCTAATCATCTAACCGTACTTACCATTTCTGGCTTAGATGGCTCTAGTGACTATTAGGACGATTTTTTCACCAGAGATCCAATTAGAAAAAAAATATAGATGGGGCCTCAGCTATTTCGATTTCATTTTAATGGCAATTTCCTCTTCAAAGAGGAATCGAACTCTATCGAGCCTTATACCTTGTCTAGGCCTTCAATCAGTAGGCCCGTAGTAGTTCTCAATTATAATTTTTTTAAGCACAATTTTAATTGACACTTATTTGCTTGGTATTAGAGAGTTTCAATGGAACATAACAGAACTTCAAGGGCTATCAGAGAATATAAGGGGATTTCAGACAGTTTTAAAAGAATATAGTAAAGAACGCCATATTTACACGCTTTCATTTTCACAGTTTCAGGATCATCTCTTGCGAATATAGTCTAATGTAGCAAATCATCGTACAGAAAATTGTTTTAGGAAGAATCTTAATCGTCTAATCCCTTCTATGACCTAACTGTGGCAAATGCATATATATATATATATCGTTGAAGTTCAATTTTAGTCCTCTAACATCACTAGTGAATAATTTTGCTAAAAGGATATTACAAGTCTGCATTTCGAATACCACTGGTTCTGTCGTACTTCTATTGCAGCTACAAAATAAGCTTATGCTTAAGCAACCAATGTAATTATTTAAACACGACTATATCTGCCTTTCTTTATTTTTTTCTTTATTTATTCTTTTTGCCCATCTATACCTTTTTTCTATGAAAACACAGGCATTCATTAATTTTTCTGGATTGCAAAATTACTACCTCATCTATCTCAGCTTTGCTTGCTACATCAAAGCCACAGCCTAAACTGGCCAATATCTTCATCATAACCGCATCATTGTTGCATTTTACTGCGTAGAATGGCTGAAATTATCATAATACTGAAATCACATTCAACTGAAATTTTGAAAAATAGTTTTCTACGAATTATAATTTACACTTTTCAATGTTGTTTTGTCCTTCAGTTACAGCAGTCAGAGAATTTTATATCGCAAATTATCTTTTTTCTAACATTATTTTTACAAAAAATATGTAAAAATGAAATGATAAAAATACTATGATGAACTTATTTTATCGTTTCTAATTTTCGAAAAGAGACATACTTTAATTCTAGGCAAATATTTGTTCCACAGTTTGAACAGTTTGATAAGCGCGCTTAAATGAACTATGAAAAACGGATGATCATTTACCTTAAAAATAATGCTCTAATTCTTGCACTGAAACTAAATTTTTATTATTGAACTGAAGAAAATTTAGCGAAGTAAGTCAACAGTAAGTGTCACCTTTTGTGGTTAGACTTACCCTACTGGCTGTTAAAAATTATCGAAGAGTTTTATGCAGTGTCTTAACCTTGATTCGGGAAATTGCACGCGCAATCTCTTCCGGAGATTTATTTTCGGATAGAACACCAATTTTCGCGCCACTGATAATCGCGTACTTTTTTATTTCAGATAGGTTCAATGAGCTAGACATTCTTTATCTTTTTCTATCTATGACTGATGAATATTCCGTTCGAAACTTGATACTTCTCTATAATTTTACTTTCATACTTCAACACTTAATTTTGATAGAATATGAAATTTAAGCCAAGCTAATTTAATAATTAAGTTACACATTTTCGAAATTTTTTTATTCACAGAGAATTAAAAAAAGAAACAGTTATGAAACTCGTTCACCTGTCGCTTTAATTTCTGTTCTTTAAAAAAAAATAAATGATGAAAAAACTAACATGATGAAATGTAACCAGGAGGATACAAATAAAATTATATTCCTTAATTTTTTTGAACTGAATTTTAGACGACAATTTGTAAGACAAAGAGCGAAGGCTCTGAAACAAAAATTCCTTAATCATTTGTTCATCTTTGCAAAAGTAAGGATTCATTAAAGGCTTTTTTCTAGCGTACTCAAATTTCAATTTTCTTTTCAATTTTCTTGAGCAAATTCTTGAGAAAAATGAGCAATTTTAGCGCATTATTATGCATGAAACTATTCCAAATATTAAAGAAATTAAATTTTGGTAACAAAAATTTTTTCTAGATTATCTGTTATCGGAAAGTGTTTCAAAATGCAGGCACAAATTATTTATATCAGAAAATATATGAAAGTCTACAAATTTTAGCGCAAATTGACGAAAACGAAAATTAAAAATTACAGTGAATCTTGAGATATTGATAAATGCACTTAGTTCTGTAGTACTTAAATATATATAAAAGAAAAGTAAAAAAATTAATAAATAATGTAAGTAAATACCATAAATAATATTTGTTGCCCGTCGAAAACAAATAATTTTGACGAATATAGACTTATAAAGATTTGCCTTTTTTTATTAAGAAGTAGTTAGCCTCATCATTTCTGGCTAGAACCGTCCCACTGGCTAAAAGTTTGGTTATAAATTTTTGTTAGGAAGTACTGGGTGAAAGAAATATGAGTTAATCAGCAACACCATTTGGACTTTTTAATGATAAATATGAAAACTCCTATTGAAAACAATAACCGAATCATAAACTCTCAATATGGTAATTTGAACCATATACTCGGCTATCCTACCCCAGCAGTTTTACTATATCAACAATGATAAAAAAATAGAAAAGCAAAACCAGTACCTATATGCAACAGGGAAATTCAATGTTTATTCATATATTTACGGGTATTTGTTGCTCATTTAGAGCGCCGATGCTGAGTTTCTATTCCACACAGGAGCAAATCTGTTCAAAAATCAGAATGATGATGTTGATTCACTTGTACTTCTATCGCCAAGGGACTCCTCTGGCATACTTACCCATTACGATAAGCGGAGCGAGTCTAACCAGTAATGGTGAGGGCTCTTAAAAAAAATTTACGGATAATATGATCTATGATCGTATCATGGTATGATCATAGGTCGACGTGCAAATATTTATTAATTTGATTCGAAAATTTAGACGCAACGCATAACATTCATCTTTGAACAATGTATGGAAAGAAATAATTTAATTTTTCTAAATTTTCAAAGATATTTAACTAATTACCTTAGAAAACTTACATAAATAGAAGAGAATGATAGAATTTGAAAAACAATTGCATTTAAATCCACAAATAACAATATTTGCGCATGTAAGAATGATAAAAATAAAAAACGATGAATATTCATAAGGTCTATGAAAATGCAATTGATAAATCAAAAGTATGTTTTTTATCACAATCCAATCCTTGGCAAGAATTCTTATATCATAGTGATAAATATAAAATGAAGACTAAAGCCCAAAAGATCGCTTTTTCTACTTCAGTAGCTCATAAGTTGATCGTATGTCAAACTATTTCAGTAAAATGAAATCAGTGAATTTTCTTCGTAAAGATAATTTTCAACTAGAAATAATAAAGCAATAATAAAACATAAAAATAGTGGAAAGAAAACAGAACTATTACTGCGAAGTTATCTTTTAAAGGATTGACCTTAAGAATAAAGGTATCAAATGTAGAATAAGCTCATCTAATACTATCTAACCTTTTGCATAAAACAAATGGACGTAAAGAGAAAATATTATCTAGATTGATGGCAGCAAAAACAGTACTTAAGAGTAGTACTTACTATTCTTCTATTTATCTATTTGGAATCAAACTGCACTTGTTGATTTCTTTTCCAAATTCAGTTAGACGATTTGACCATAAAGAATCGAATGACTGAAAAGAACTTTAGAAGCAAGTGTCAGACAATTAATTCACGAATAATAATAAACAGTTGTAGTGAAGTCAAATCAGGAAAATCTTTTTATATCTAATTGGACAATAAAACTCGACGAAATAAGCCACTGAAAATTAAAAATCGCAGAAATAATTGCGAATGGCAACGACAAGCGAATTTGTGGACTTATTAAGCGAATGTAAACCAATTCTTTTGTATCATTGGAATGTAAACTTTATCGTTTAGATTAAAATAAAAAAGAACGCCTGCAGCAAAAAAAGGACGTATTTTAAAATTTCATCTCTGCAATATCATCATTTTATTTGTTAATGGTTGAGAGTTTTCCAATTTTCGAAAGATTTTAAAGATTTTCAGTAAATACTAGGAGATAAATAAATATTTGTGGACCATTAAATACAGGGTTTTATATAATTTAATAGTTTAATGGACATTTTCAAAGAAGGGTTTCTGAGTACGATTAAACCATATTCAAATATACAATTGATTCGATGAAATATTGAACGGCGATTTTCTGCAAAACGTTTCGGTTGCCAGCCATACATTGGCAATTTATGGAATCCACATTGTGATTATGATTTACGAGTGTATAATTTTGCATTAGGTTTTGCTCGAATAAAGCTGGCTCATACTGTTAATCAAAAATTTCTGAGCGAATAGCTAGTAAAGCGATGTCTTCAAATGTAACAAGCCTCTTTTCCAAAGGCCTTATTGAGCCTACATTCTTCGCCAACCTACATAAATAGCCTTTTTTCTCATTCAATTTGGCGTTATTCGCCTATCATTTTTTTCCAAAGAAGCGTTCTTCATATAGTTCTGAAGGGAATTCACGAATATCACATCTACCAATGCGCAAAATTAAATTCAAGCCAGACGAGAATTAGTGACTTGTGTTTTCTCCTTTAATAAAACTTTGTTCCATCTTGGCATTTCCGGAAACGATCGCATTTTAAATGGCTGATGCTAAGTAATAAATGGACCGATTTGAATAAAAACTAGCATAAGAAAAATGTCAAAAATGGACTTGATCTTTCTATATCAGTGGTAGGCACCTTTATAATGTGGAGTTTATTATATCCAGCTAAAAATTTAAAGCTTGAAATCCAATGAAATTTTATTTATTTCAAATATATAAGAAACGACATATTCAGACATATTTGGTGCACTGTATAGATATAGCACAAAAAATTGGAACAAGATCTTTCACAAAAACGTCAAAAACATTGGTAATATCAATCTGATAATTAAATACTAAGTAAAAAATAATTTATTTAGTTAAGACAATTTGTCAAAAAAATATTTTTATCCGAACTCAGCAGGATTTACCAATAAATCGTGGGTTTATATAACGAAATCATAGAGATTTCTACCTTGCAACAAGATCTAATGAAGCCTTTTGTAATTTAAAAAAAAATATATTAAATTCTGGAAGAAAGTAATAAATTAGTGAGTGCAAATCTAAAAAACGAACAACTGGATTCAAAAATATCTATCAAAAATATTTACAAATAACTAGTTAAAAAGTAGTTAGCTCTCATCATTTCTGACTAGGTTTCTATTAAAAGAGAAGGAAATTTTTGCCATTAGCATCAGTCTTTTTAATGACAGATTTTCCAGACGTGGAATAGAATCATGTCCGTAATGCTCGACGCGATCAGAACGTATAGAGTAAGAGCAGTACATCGTCAAAATGTAAAAAGTCGAAAGACTTATTTTTTCTACCTTCTATAGTCGATAACAAAACAAATATTGCATTGCAACAATGTCAACAAAGTTTTCTGATAACAATCATTAATAATGAAAAAAGTGGAACCAAAATCACTAATAAATGAATTGCATAAACTATGACTTCGGAAGGATCCATATTTTCTGCTTCTAGAAGCGAACTATTGGCCAAAACTATGTCCCAGATTTGCGCACACCCATTATTCTTTTTTCGAAGACAATACTATCAGAAAATTTAGCACCACTTTTAATCTAGGCTCACTGTATTTTTTTTTTAAAGAGTCCTCACCATTACTAGTTAAACTGGCTCCACTGGCTTGTCACAATGAGCAATATGCCTTAGAGTCCCTTGGCGATAGAAGTACAGGTGAGTCGCCAGCATCATCCCAACTTTTGAACAGGTTTATTTCTACGAGGAATCGAACCTCACCGCTCCCAATCGAGCAACACCTCACTGAGCCATTCTATGCCCTCGCTTTATTAGTATAATTTGTCTCCGTTTTATCCCTCTGCCAATCTGCACAAAATATTTAAAACATTAAAAACTACGCACTAATATATTCGTCTACTGAACCTTGAATTCCTTCGCATAAACATATAAAACACATATACATATATATGTACTATGAATCGTATAGTGGAGCCCAAACTGCAAGCCAAAAATAGCTATGCGACCAATTAACCATGAAAACTGTGCTATTATTATTATATTGTTAATCAAATATTAATAGTAGAAAACGATATAGAGGAATTTTTAATTAGTATGGCACATCAAAAGAAAATATA